CCTGGCCAGACAGAAGCAAAATGAATGCTGGTGGAGACACGTATCCACCATCAGAAAGAGGACCAAAGGCAGCTGGGCAGGTCCCCATTCCTCCGAGATTAATGGCAGGGACTTGAAACAACAACAAAAAAAGGGAAAGCCACAAAGGGAATCTTGGACCGAAGACGGGGCCGTAATTATGGTGCGCTTCAGAGAAGACTGAACTCTTCTTCCTGTTGTATCTACAAAGGAGCCAACCCACATTCCTCGGGCCGAATCCTGGCCTGACCCCGTCTCTCACCAAGCCTCCTGTCCACGCACGTCTCCCTTGTGTGGCATCCGACACGTTGCTGTTCCCAGCCTCCCTTTGGGTCTTTGGATCTTTCTGAACCTACAGGAAAAACCATGGATATCCTCCAAAGGCATTACGGATAGTCCTCGACTTACGACACTCAAACAAAAAAAGGGACTTAGGACCCTTTTCCACACTTACGACCGTCGCAGCTTCCCTGTGGTCAATGTGATCAAAATTAAGAGGCTCGGCAACTGGCATGTACTTAGGACGGTTGCAACATCCCTAGAATCACGTGATACCCTTTTGCCGACCTCGGGCCGAGCCATATCAAGGGGGACGCCGGATTCGCTTAATAACATCTTGACTAAGTTAACAACTCCAGCGATCCACTTAACAACGGTGGCAAAATTCACTTAACAGATGGTCTCGCTTAGCCACAGAAAATTGCTGGGGCTCAGATGTGCTCGTAGGTCAAGGACTTATATCGGTACGAGCCGGTTTCCAAGCGTCTGAATTTCGATCACGCGGCCACGGGGATGCTGCAAGGGTCGTAACTGTGAATAAACGGTCGTAAGTCCCTTTTTTTTTTGCGTGCCGTCGTAACTTTGAAAGGTCACTAAATGATCTGTTGTAAATAGAGGACTACCTGTGATTAAATCCAGGAGAGAAGCAACCTGGAACTGAGGAGAAACTTCCTGACAGTGAGGACAATTTAACCAGTGGAACAACCTGCCTCCAGAAGTGGTGAATGCTCCAACACTGGAGGTTTTAAAGAAGAGACTGGATGGCCATTTGTCTGAAACAGTATAGGGTTTCCTGCCTGAGCAGGGGTTGGACTAGATGACCTCCAAGGTCCCTTCCAACATTATTATTATTATAACTTTCTTTCTTGCTTGTTTGCTTGCTTTTCTCTGCTTTCTTTCTTTCTTTTCTTTCTTTCTTTCTTTCTTTCTTTCTAGCTTTCTAGCTTTCTCTCTTTCTAGCTTTCTCTCTTTCTTTCTAGCTTCCTTCCTTCCTTTCTTTTTTTTCTTTCTTTTTCTTTCTAGCTTTCTAGAAGAGACTGGACAGTCATTACTGAAACGGTATAGGGTTTCCTGCCTGAGCAGGGGTTGGACTAGATGACCTCCAAGGTCCCTTCCAACATTATTTTTATTATTATTATTAACAACCTGCCTCCAGAAGTTGTGAATGCTCCAACACTGGAAGTTTTTAAGAAGAGACTGGACAGCCATCTGTCTGTAATGGTATAGGGTTTCCTGCCTGAGCAGGGGGTTGGACTAGATGCCCTCCAAGGTCCCTTCTGACTTTATTATTATTATTATTAACAACTTGCCTCCAGAAGCGGTGAATGCTCCAACACTGGAAGTTTTTAAGAAGAGACTGGAGAGCCGTTTGTCCGAAATGGTATATGGTTTCTTCCCTGAGCAGGGGGTTGGACTAGATGACCTCCAAGGTCCCTTCCAATTTATTATTATTATTATTATTATTATTATTGTTGTTGTTGTTGTTGTTGTTGTTGTTGTGTTGTTGTTGTTGTTGTTGTTATTATTATTATTATTATTATTATTATTATTATTATTATTATTATTATCATTAAATAAAAGGAGTCTCTGTCTTGCAGGGACTCTGGGAAGAAGCAGTGGAGAGCAAAGTATCTTCCTGGGCTGTTTGATGACAGGAGCAGAAACTCAGTCACTTGTAAATGACAAGATAAGAAAAGACACATCTTGACCTCAGGGCTCAGAAGGCATTTAATTCCACTTTTTGCTTTTAAAAGAAATCAGAACGGGAAGCGCCTGGCTGTATTCCGTGGCAGAGCATCCAGGGAGGAGGAGGAGGAGGAGAAGGAGGGCTTCACCTCGAATCACCTACCTACCAGTTAGATGTAATGGAGGGTTGGGAATGGCAGGTTATTTTTAAAAATAATTGTCTGAACTGCTGGCTGTTTTATGCAAGTCGCCGTCATGCTGGATCAAGCCAGAGAGAAGGAGGGAGGGAGGGAGACAGAAAGAATATTATATTTTAAATCTGGAAATAAATAAAAATTCATATCAGAGAAGAAAGAGAGAGAGAGAGAAAGAAAGAAAAAGAAAGAAAGAAAGCTAGAAAGAAAGAAAGCAAGAAAAAGAGAAAAAGAAAGCTAGAAAGCTGGAAAGCTGGAAAGCTAGAAAGAAAGAAAGAAAGAAAGAAAGAAAGAAAGAAAGAAAGAAAGAAAGAAAGAAAGAAAGAAAGAAAGAAAGAAAGAAAGAAAGAAAAAAAGAAAGAAAGAAAGAAGGAAGGAAGCAAGCAAGCAAGCTAGAAAGAGAGAGAGAGAAGCAAGAAAGCAAGCTAGAAAGAGAGGGAAAGCTAGAAAGAAAGAAAAGAAAGAGAGAAAGAAATAGAAAGAGCAGAGAAGAGCAAGCAAACAAGCAAGAAAGTTGTATTTTAAATGTGGAAATAAATAAAAATAAAAAAATTCATATCAGAGAAGAAAGAGAGAAAGAAAGAAAAAGAAAGAAAAAGAAAGAGGAAGAAAGCAAGCTAGAAAGAGAGAAAGCTAGAAAGAAAGAAAGAAAGCTAGAAAGCTAGAAAGAAAGAAAGAAAAAGAAAAAAAGAAGGAAAGAAAGAAAGAAAAAAAAGAAAGGAAGGAAGCTAGAAAGAAAGAGAGAAAGCTAGAAAGAGAGAAAGCTAGAAAGCTAGAAAGCAAGAAAGAAAGAAAGAAAGAAAGCAGAGAAAAGCAAGCAAACAAGCAAGCAAGAAAGTTATAATAATAATAATAATAATAATAATAATAATAATAATAATAATAATAATAATAATAATAATAATAATAATAATAATAATAAAGTTGGAAGGGACCTTGGAGGTCTTCTAGTCCAACCCCCTGCTCAGGCAGGAAACCCTATACCATTTCGGACAAACGGCTGTCCAGTCTCTTCTTAAAAACTTCCAGTGTTGGAGCATTCACAGCTTCTGGAGGCAGGTTGTTCCACTGGTTAATTGTTCTCACTGTCAGGAAGTTTCTCCTTAGTTCCAGGTTGCTTCTCTCCTTGGTTAGTTTCCATCCGTTGCTTCTTGTCCTGCCTTCAGGCGCTTTGGAGAATAGCTTGACTCCCTCTTCTTTGGGGCAGCCCCTGAGATACTGGAAGGCTGCTATCCTGCCCCCCCTCGTCCTTCTCTTCGTTAAACTAGACATCCCCAATTCCAGCAACCGTTCCTTGTATGCTTTAGCCTCCAGTCCCCTAATCATCTTTGTTGCTCTTCTCTGTACTTTAATCTTTGTATTTTAATCTTGGAAATAAATAAAAATTCACATCAGAGGAAGGAAGGAAGGAAGGAAGGAAGGAAGGAAGGAAGGAAGGAAGGAAGGAAGGAAGGAAGGAAGGAAGGAAGGAAGGAGAATTAGATTTGCAAGGTGGACTTTCAGAGGAGAAAGCCCTGTTCCAGCAGGATTTGGGCTTGCGTTACCCAAGACCTCCGGGCGTCTTCTACCACCTTGTGGGGAAGCATAAGGGTTTTTTCCTCCCTTAAGTATCCCGTCCCCATGGTGACTGCAAGAAGAAATAGGCTCCTTGCTGATAGATGCCTACCGACTTCCAGATTGTGGGTCCAATTGCCAAGAAAGAGAGAATCTGTGTTTAGTTATGGTTAAAGTCTTTGTTCCCTAGCCCAAAATCCTTGTCTGGCCTCTTCTCAGTGATCTTTCTGCATGTTCTGGCTTCTCTGCCCATAGCTGTTCTGCTTACTGGGCTATCACCCTTCTCAATATTCTAGTCCTCAATGTCCTCTCCATGAACTGCCTGCCGTCTCTCCCCCATCAGCAAGTTCTCCAGGCAGCATCCGGCTGACCGTGCATGATCCTGAAAAGCCAGCTGGGTTAGGCTCGGTTAGGGAAGTGGACGGGAGACCACTTGGTAATGTAACTGAGTGCTGTAAAGTGGACTACAAATACAATGATCACCATCGTTGTAAGAGCCTGGGAGGCCTTGTGGTGGTCAGGCGGAGGGAGGACTGCAGAGAGGAGTGCCTTCAACGCCACCTGATCTTGAAGGGTTGCAGGGTTGAACCTGATTAGTAGTTAGACGGAAGACCAACAGGAAAACCCTGGAGACAAAATGGAGGGCTAGAAGCATCCTTCCATACTTGTCATTCTAGAGAATTCTCAGTTTGTGGGGGTCCTGGGTGTTCTCTGAGCTGGGTGGTTTTCTTGCAGACCTTTCATGACCCAACTAGGGAACATCATCAGTGTTAGAAGGGAGTGGGGTTTGGGAGGAGGAGGAGGAGAAGGAAGAAGAAGAAGAAAAGAAAGAGGAGGAGGAGGATTGTGGGGTCCTGGATGCCCTCTGAGCTGGGTGGTTTCCTTGCAGACCTTTCATGACCCAACTAGGGAACATCATGAGTGCTAGAAGGGAGGGGGGTTTGCGAGAAGAAGGAGGAGGAGGAGGAGGAGGAGGAGGAGGAGGAGGAGTAGTACGATGACTGTGGGGGTCCTGGGTGCTCTCTGAGCTGGGTGGTTTTCTTGCAGACCTTTCATGACCCAACTAGGGAACATCATCAGTGNCTGAAAAGAAGCAGCGTGATTGGGTAAGAGGTGCGCGTGCGCACTCGAATCCAAAATGAATTTTTTTTTTTCCTCCCCTTTGGCCATTGGACTAAATTTCCCATGACGCTCCGCGGCTTTTCCCCCATTGGGAAAGCCGGGGAGAGCGGCGAACGGCATGACGGGAGCTGTAGGCCTCGCGTTCTGAGGCGAGAGTAGCCACCATGGCGGCGGCCTTCCCCAAAGCCCCGAAAAAGAAGCCCGAGGAAGCCGGCAAGGCCACGGAGGCGGCCTTGCCGTTGCAGTACAGCCTCCTGCTGGATTACCTGGTGGGCGAAAAGCGAGGCCCGAGGCCGGATTTCCCGCCGGGCGTCCTCGGGGGCTTCCCGGCGCCCGTCAAGAGCCCCGAGCAGAAGATGGTCGAGCGCGCCATGGAGAGCTGCGCCTTCAAGGCGGCGCTGGCCTGTGTCGGCGGTGGGTGTTTCTGAGGGGGCCCTTGAAGGGCGACTTTTCACCCTTCTGCCTCGCCAGGACTACATCACCCCTCACCCACCACCCCTGCGATATTCCAGTTGGCCGCTAGAGGGCGGCGGAGAGGGAGATCTGCGGTTCTTTCCCCCTGGCGGCTGTGGCGAGAATTGCAGGCCCCCAGTCCTGTTTTGGGGCCTAGGAGTGGGTGGGGAGGATGGGAGATGTAGTTAGCTAGAAAACGTGTTTTAAGTTATTTTATTTTCATTCCTTAATTCAGGGGTTTTCAAACTTGGCCACTTTAAGACTTGTGGACCAACTCCCAGAATTCCTCAGCCAGCCCTGGCTGGCTGAGGAATTGTGGGAGTTAAAGTCCACAAGCTGGCTGACTGGCGGGCTGAGGAATTCTGGGAGTTGAAATCCACAAACCGGCTGATTGGCCGGCTGAGAATTCTGGGAGTTGAAGTCCACAAGCCGGCTGACTGGCTGGCTGAGGAATTCTGGGAGTTGAAGTCCACAAGCCGGCTGACTGGCTGGCTGAGGAATTCTGGGAGTTGAAGTCCACAAGCTGGCTGAGGAATTCTGGGAGTTGAAGTCCACAAGCCGGCTGACTGGCTGGCTGAGGAATTCTGGGAGTTGAAGTCCACAAGCTGGCTGAGGAATTCTGGGAGTTGAAATCCACAAGCTGGCTGATTGGCCGGCTGAGGAATTCTGGGAGTTGAAATCCACAAGCTGGCTGATTGGCCGGCTGAGAATTCTGGGAGTTGAAGTCCACAAGCCGGCTGACTGGCGGGCTGAGGAATTCTGGGAGTTGAAGTCCACAAGCTGGCTGAGGAATTCTGGGAGTTGAAGTCCACAAGCTGGCTGACTGGCTGGCTGAGGAATTCTGGGAGTTGAAGTCCACAAGCTGGCTGACTGAGGAATTCTGGGAGTTGAAGTCCACAAGCTGGCTGACTGAGGAATTCTGGGAGTTGAAGTCCACAAGCTGGCTGACTGGCTGGCTGAGGAATTCTGGGAGTTGAAGTCCACAAGCTGGCTGACTGGCTCGCTGAGGAATTCTGGGAGTTGAAGTCCACAAGCTGGCTGAAGAATTCTGGGAGTTGAAGGCCACAAGCCGGCTGACTGGCCGGCTGAGGAATTCTGGGAGTTGAAGTCCACAAACTGGCTGGCTGAGGAATTCTGGGAGTTGAAGTCCACAAGTCTTAAAGTGGCCAAGTTTGAAGACCCCTGCCTTAATTTAACTATTGGCCCACCCTTCTCAAATAACTCTCTCTCTTTTTATTGAATTTATGAAATTTAGCTTCTCTATTGCCCCTTTTGTATTGTCGTAAATAACTCAAGGCAGGGAACACACAGAATGCTGCTTCATCCTCTTGATTTTCCTCAAAACAACCCCCCTGTGAGGTGGGCTGGGCTGAAAGAGACAGGGGGATTGGCCCAAAATTACTCAGCCAGCCTTTATGCTTTAAGGCAGGACTAGAACTCACCCTCTCCTGGTGATTGGCCCAAAGGCTCTCATGGCTAAGGCAGGATTCCAGATGATTGGCTCAGAGTCACCCACCTGGCTTTCATGCCTAAGGCGGTACTAGAACTCACCATCTCTTGGTGATTGGCCCAAAGTTATCCAGCCGGCTTTCATGGCTAAGGCAGGACTAGAACTCACCGTCTCCTGGTGAATGGCCCAAAGTCACCCGGCCGGTTTTCATGCCTAAGTCAGAACTAGAACTCACCGTTTCCTGGTGATTGGCCCAAAATTACCCAGCTGACTTTCATGCCTAAGGCAGGACTAGAACTCACAGTCTCCTGGTAACTGGCCCAAACTCACCCAGCCAGCTTTCATGCCTAAAGCGGGACTAGAACTCACCGTTTCCCGGTGATTGGCTCGAGGTCACCCAGCTGGTTTTCATACCTAAGGCGGGACTAGAATTCACCATCTCCAAGCAAAGTGACTGGGTGAAGCCAGGTTCACTTAATGACCAAATGATTCACTTAACAACTGCAGGGATTCACTTAGCTATGTCAAGAACGGTCCTAACAGCGGCAAAACTCGCTGAACAGCTGTCTTGCTTACCGACAGAAATGTTGCGCTCAAATTGTGGTCGTAAGTGAAGGACTGTCTGTATGTGACAACCTTGTACAGTGTAAGGAGCACGAAAGCAGGCCTTTTGACCCCCGTTTGCAGGACTCTCCAGAGAGGCGTCCATCGTTTTGACTGACTGCTTTGTGATTCTGATCTGCCAGGCTTCGTGCTGGGGGGCGCCTTCGGCGTGTTCACTGCTGGCATCGATACCAACGTGGGATTTGACCCGAAGGATCCGTACCACACGCCGACAGCCAGAGAGGTCTTGAAAGATATGGGGCAACGGGGCATGTCGTACGCCAAAAACTTTGCCATCGTGGGGGCCATGTTCTCCTGCACCGAGTGCCTGGTGGAATCTGTGAGTAACTTCCTTCTTTTGATCTTGATTGATAAAAGGGTAAGGAGGCTAAATCGTTCGATGAACGGTTGAGGGAAAGGGAGCNGTGGACTTCAACTCCCAGAATTCCTGAGCCAGCATGGGGGAACTAGGGCCCCTTCATGACTTGTGGACTTCAACTCCCAGAATTCCTGAGCCAGCATGGGGGAACTATGGCCCCCTTTATGACTCGTGGACTTCAACTCCCAGAATTCCTGAGCCAGCATGGCTCAGCTTAAAAACTTTCCCTTTCCCCTCATCATGGCTGGCTCAGGAATTCTGGGAGTTGAGGTCCATGAGTCATAAAAGAGCCAAGATTACCTACCCCTGACCTAGCCTATCAAAAAAAACGATTGTGGGGGACATAATGGCAGTCTTCGCTGAAGCCAAATTACTTTGGCCACCAAATTGAGAAGACTCATTGGAGAAGACCCCGATGTTGGGAAAGATGGAAGGCAAAACGAGGAGGGGACGGCAGAGGAGGAGAGGGTTAGTTTCATCAACACAATGAACGTGAATTTGGGCAAACTCTGGGAGACAGTGGAAGACGGGGGCCTGGCGTACTGTGCTCCATAGGATTGCAAAGAGTCAGGCACAACTTAGACTGAACAACGACAACAAAGATAACAGTCTTCCAGTATTTTAGGGGCTGTCAGGGAGAATTATTCTCCAAAGCACCAGAGAGCAGGATAAGAAGCAATGTGACATGATAGCAGTATTCCAGTATTTGAGGGGCTGCCACAAAGAAGAAGAGGGAGTGAAGCTGTCCTCCAAAGTGCCTGAAGGCAGGACAAGAAGCAACGGATGGAAACTGACCGAGAGAAACAACCTGGAATTAAGGAGAAACTTCCTGACAGCGAGAACAATTAACCAGTGGAACAGCTTGCCACCAGAAGTTGTGGGCACCCCATCACTGGAGGTTTTGAAAAAGAGACTAGACAGTCACTTGTCTGAGATGGAATAGGTTCTCCTGCTTGAACGGGGGGCTAGGCTAGAAGACCTCCAAGGTCCCTTCCAGCTCTATTCTAAGCTCATTAAAGAGAGATCCCACCTAAAATTAAGGAGACCGTCACAAATATGAGTCATTTTGCCAAGCATTTGAATTTTAATCACACAACCCTGGGGATGCTGCAAGGGTCGTAAGTGTGAAAATGATCCTAAGTCACTTTTTTTCAGTGCCGTTGTCACTTTGAACGGTCACTAAATGAATGAGTTGTAAATTGAGGATTACCTGCATTCCATAGATTGCTTTTGGTTCTTTGGGCCTGAGAAGTTCCAGTAATGAAAGAAGCCCTTCGCAGCCATTTTGCTTAGCAATGTAATATGCGTTGTTGTTCTTATTACAAGGATCCTTGGGGTCCTTCCTGATGTCAACACCTTGGAATGATTTCCGGTTTCCTACTACGCCACTCAGAAATCCAGACCGTTTCTCCAGTTCTAATCCTCGCCTCCCCTGCATTTCCACGGGAAGCGTTGTGGCCTCTCTGGAGAACCCTCAGAGCTGTGGCGAGAGGTGGGCGGCAAATACATGGGATAAATAAAATAAAAACACCAGAAAGCGGAGAAAGCAGCCTTACTTTTTAGAAGAATGGAGTGGAATAGAATGAGAATTAATTAGAATTAGGAATGAATATAATAGAAATAGAGTAGAGTAGAGTAGAACAGAACAGAACAGAACAGAACAGAACAGAACAGAATATGGAATGGGATGGGATGGAAAATGGAATAGAATAGAATAGAATAGCATAATGAGTAGAATAGAATAGCATAATGAATAGAATAGAACAGAATAGAATAGAACAGAACAGTGGTGGCAAACCTATGGCACGCGTGCCAGAGGCGGCACTCAGAGCCCTCTCTGTGGGCACGCGCGCCATACCCCGGAGATGGCAACTGTCCCTGTTCAACCACCCGCCCGCTAACTAGCCGAGGTCCCGCGTGGCCGGATGCATCCCGGCACGGCTGGTTTCCCTCCCCCCCATTCCGTCCCTCCTGGCCTCGCATGCTCTCCTTTTCCCGGGCACGACCCACTGTATCGCCTCCTCAGCTGTCTGCCGGCCGTCCAGCTCAGAGGCGGCTTCTTTGAATTGCTGGCGATGGGCTGTGGAGCCCCAGAGTGCGCCGGTCGAGGGGCTGGCAGGCTGTGGCTGCTGTCGGGCACCGTCAGCCCCCATGCGCTCTCTGGCCTCTGTGTGTGGGGGCCGATGGTGTCAGGCAGCAGCCGCCCCAGCCCTTGCCTTGCCCCATGGCAATGGCCCCCCGTCCTGCCTCACCTCACCCCGTAAGACGAGCCTCCTGCCCACCGCCCCACCTGCCAGAGACCTCCTGGATCTCCCCCAACCCTGCCCGGCCCCCACAGGCATCCCTCCCCACAAGCAACATTGAGGTGACCACGCTCACCTTGGCCACACCCAACCAGTCTGCCATGACCACCATAGCCACGCCCACCCAGTGGGCCATACCCACTTGGCACCCGGAGATAAATAAGTGGGGTTTAGGTTGCAGTTTGGGCCCTCAGTCTCTAAAAGGTTCGCCATCACTGGAATAGAATATAGAATAGAATAGAATAGAATATAGAATAGAATAGAATATAGAATGGAATAGAATATATAGAATACAATATAGAATACAATATAGAATACAATAGTAGAATAGGAATAGAATAGAATATAGAATACAATAGAATAGTAGAATAGGAATAGAATAGAATATAGAATAGAATAAAATAGAATGTAGAATAGAATAAAATAGAATGTAGAATAGAATAGAATATAGTAGAATAGGAATAGAATATAGAATAGAATATAGAATAGAATAGAATATAGAATAGAATAGGAATGAGAATGAGGAATAGAATTATGAAAAAAAAGAATAGAATAGAATGAGTTGGAAGGTCATCTAGTCCAACCCCCCCTGCTCAGGCAGGAAACCCTCTACCATTCCAGACCCAGGGCTGTCCAATCTCTTCTTAAAGACCTCCAGTGTCGGACAAGATGGTCCACGGAGCGGTCCCTGCGGACGGTGGCCTTGACAGCCTCTTTCTTGCTTCCTTAGTACCGAGGCAAATCCGACTGGAAGAACAGCGTCACCAGCGGATGCATCACCGGCGGGGCCATCGGTTTCAGAGGTGAGAGCGCTGCCTTCCAGCAGTTGGAAGCTCCTCGGAGCACATTCCACCGTGGGATTGGGGCCCAGGCATTCCTGTACCAGGAAGCTGTGCTTGGCGGCTGCTGCTGGCTGAAGCCGAGGGATGGGCTTGCCAGAACGTGGGCAGCGTGCCACTGTTTCTGGGATTTGGGATTTGCAGCTGACACGTCTCCCGCGGATGCCAAAGGGGAAGGAAGTTTAATATTAAGCAGGGTTCAAACGGGGCGAGCGCCTCGTTGGCAGCGGAAACCTTTACAGTTATTTCATTTTTTTTTAAAGGAGCTGGGCCAGCGGAGTTTTTTTCCTTTTCACAATCCCAAGCGCTCATGTTGCCTAACATTAGTCTCTGAGTAAGCTCTTTATGTTGAACTGGATTGATTTAAAAAAAAACTTGGGGGGGGGGCTGTGTCTATGGAGATTCTCAAATCATCCAGGCCACGGTGGTGGTCCCAAAGGTGCTTTTTCAAAAGGCAACTGGATTTTCTCGATTTTTTTTTTCCCTTGAAAATGTTTTGCTTCTTAGGTTCTGCTAAGCTGAACTGACTTGAAATTAAAGAAGCTTCTTGGATGAGAAAGTTTTTAGGAAAAAAAAAACCCCAAGAAAGCCCAGTTGGCTTGTGGGAAAGCACCTTTGGGTTTTTGGGGGAGAGCTACAGCAGTTTTGGAGTCTGTTCCTTCTTCAGATCTGCTGGGGGTACCCTTCCCTAGTGAGGTTTATAAATGGTGGGTGAACCAAGAAATAAAGCCAACGTAAACCATGATGGTCTGTGATGCATGAATCTAGCCCAGTATTTCTCAACCTTGGCAACTTGGCAAGACATGTCGACTTCAACTCCCAAAATTCTCCGGGGAGCATGCTTTAACTGGGGTGGACTTCAGCTCCCAGAATTCCCCAGCCAGCATGCTTTAAGATGAGAGAACTTCAATTCCCAGAATTCCTCAACCAGCATGCTTTAAGATGGGCGGGCTTCAATTTCCAGAATTCCCCAGCCAGTATGCTTTAAAAGGGGAGGACTTCCACTCCCAGAATTCCCAGCCAGCATGCTTGAAGATGGATAAATTTCCACTCTCAAAATCCCCCAGGGAACATGCTTTAAGATGGGCGGACTTCCAACTCCCAGAATTCCCCAGCCAGCAAGGTTCTCCCTTTTGGCCTTTCATGAGGCCTAGAAACTTGGTTTCTGCCCCTGAGCCTGGTGTCCCAGGCATGGGATAGGGCCCATTTCTGGGCTATGAGAATGATTGGTTGCCCGGCTGCTATGTTTTATTTTCATTTAATGTTGTGTATTTTACTGTAAGCAGCCTAGAGTCTCGTAAAAATGAGATGGGTGGCTATATACAAGTAGTCCTCAACTTATGACCGTAACTGAGCCCAGAGTTACGGTTGTGAATTCTGCCAGTCATTAAGCAAGCACACCTGATTTTACAGCTTTTTTTTCAAATAGTTATTAAGTGAATGCTGCCGTCATTCAAAGAACATGGCAGCTGTTATGTGAACACGGTCGCTAAGCGAACCCCTTATTGTACCCATCGTGGGATATTGCCAACAGCCATCAATGTGTGCTGGTTGCTAAGGGCCCCCAATGCAATCACAAGGCCCCAGGGAGGGGGGGAACAGCCATTGGAACGTCTAGACTGGGTCGTCAATAGCTCTGGGGCGTTCCACTGTAACGTTGACCGGTCGCAAAATCAGAGTTCCTCAAGCTTTCCGGGTTGGCGGCCCGGAGAGGGGGAGGGAGAAAAGAGAGGATGGTTTTGTAGGAGGGGAAGGCATGTGAGATGTATGATGTAATGATGGGGACGACTCAGCAGGATCTGTGTCTTTTTAAGAGCCAGCAGGGTCTGTGTCCCTTTAAGAGCCAGCTGGGAGGAGTGTCAAGGTATTGATTTAACAGCTAACCAGCTTATGTAATGTAAGATGTAATGATGGGGACGACTCAGCAGGATCTGTGTCTTTTTAAGAGCCAGCAGGGTCTGTGTCCCTTTAAGAGCCAGTAGGGTCTGTGTCCCTTTAAGAGCCAGCAGGGTCTGTGTCCCTTTAAGAGCCAGCAAGGTCTGTGTCCCTTTAAGAGCCTTTGTATAAAAGGGAAGACTCTGTTGCTGTGTTCTCTCTCTTCTATTTCCTGCTGTAACTGCTATGTGTTGGAGCCTGCTGTATTAACAGGTGTTTGTATATTGTTCCTGGTGTATGATATGGTAGATAGTGTAAGATAAGCCACCATTTAATATAGATCACTGTTTACTGTGTTTCCTCCCGGGTAATCTCAGTGCAACAAGACTGCACGCTCTGACACGCGTGCACGAGCATCTGTTGCTCACGCAAGTGAGGCCGAGAGGACTCGTGAAGCTCGCGTGAGTGGGGCCCCGACACACACCCGCGACACAGACCAACCAGCCACTCACGCGGCCTGGTTGCGAACAGGCCACGGACCGGGAGTGGGCCACGGCCCACAGGTTGGGGACCCCTATCCCTAAGCAACCTGTCGCAAGTTGAGGATTACCTGTAAATCGAACACCCGAATCAAAAACAAATGCATGATCGACTTCTTCTCTCCGTTTCCTTGCAGCTGGCCTCAAAGCCGGAGTCCTCGGCTGCGGGGGCTTTGCCGCCTTCTCCGCCGTGATTGACTACTACTTACGGTAGCAGCTGGGGCCCACCAGCCAGGACCTTCCAGTCTCGGCTGCGGAGGGACAGCAGGCCCGGTGGGCGTCTTGAGCCCCCTGTTAACCCAGCCGGTGAAAATCCAAAATCCGCCACGGTAGGGGAACCACGGAGGAAGAACCCTTGTCAGCTCTTGGGAGCTTCTGCTTCGATTCTGCAAACTGAGCGGCTGGGATATTTTATATTTTATCGCCCTTCCCTCCCCAAAAAAGAATCTTTTTAAGTTCTGCCGGCGTTTGGATTGGGAAGAACACAAAACGTTGCCTTGTTGTTGTTTTTTTCCCAACGTGTCCCACGTTTTTTTTTCCCACGGTCAAAGGGTAACCGGCTAATAAAACGGGAACAGTTTTTCCAATTTTCAGAGGTTTTGGGGTTGTAAATGTTCAGCCGTTTGTGGCTGAAACTCAGATGGCAGCTGGGGGACTCTTGACGGTGTCGGCCGATCTACCGCCAGCTGCCTCTGGAATTCGTCCTCAAGTTACGACAATTGAATCCCAACGTGTTTCTGTGGCTCAGCGTTTTACGACCTTTCCTGCCACGGTTGTTAAGGGAGTCACTGCTGTGGTTAAGTTAGCAGCACGATTGTTAAGTGAATCCGTCCCCCCTTCCCCAAATTGGCTTTGCTTGCGAGAAAGTCACAAAAGGGAATCACACGAACCCGGGACACTGGGACCGTCGTAGATATGAATCAGCTGCCAAGCGTCTGACTTTGACCCTGGGGATGCTACGACGGTCGTTAAGTGTGGAAGACGATCAGAAGTCGCTTTTTCTCTGCCGTCGTAACTTCAAATGGTCACTAAACAAATGTAATATTTGCAGCAAAGGTTGTTTTTGACAGATGATGATGATGATAAATAAATAAATAAATAAAGTTGGAAGGGACCTTAGAGGTCATCTAGTCCAACCCCCTGCTCAAGCAGGAAACCCTATCCCATTTCAGACAAATGGCTGTCCAGTCTCTTCTTAAAAACTTCCAGTGTTGGAGCATTCACAGCTTCTGGAGGCAGGTTGTTCCACTGGTTAATTGTTCTGTCAGGAAGTTTCTCCTTGGTTCCAGGTTGCTTCTCTCCTTGATGAGTTTCCATCCATTGATTCTTGTCCTGCCTTCGGGTGCTTTGGAGAAGAGTTTGACTCCCTCTTCTTTGGGGCAGCCCCTGAGATACTGGAAGACTGCTGTCCTGTCCCCCCTCGTCCTTCTCTTCGTTAAACTAGACAGACCCAATTCCAGCAACCGTTCCTTGTATGTTTTAGCCTTCGATCCCTTAACTAGTGACATCATCAACGTACGTATGTCAAGGACTAGTTTAAGAGTGGTTGAGTTTGTTGACCCCTTCTATGGGGCAGCCCTTCAAGTACTGGAATGCTGCTCTAGCATTCTTTAGGGATTGTAGTATTATAACCCCTAAAGATACTACTATAATATATTATACAGCATATGGTAAATACTGCTATAGCATTCTTTAGGGCAGCGGTTCTCAACCTATGGGTTGCGACCCCATTTGGGGTCGATCAACCATTTCATGGGGGTCACCAAGCAAGGCTGTCCACCATTTTTTTTGTCCGCCATTTTTTTCCCCTTTTCTGGCGGGTGCCTTACCTCCCTTGGGCTGGGCCAGCTGGTGGTCGGCCTGCTCCGTCTCTGCCGCTTGCCAGCTATGCTTCGGCCGATGCAGGGGGCGGAACCACGCATGCGCGGCGCTCCCAGGCAGGGAAAGTCCTCGACTTACGACCGGTTGGGTAGTCCTCGACTTACGACCGGTTTAGTCCTCGTTTAGTCCTCGACTTACGACCGGTTGGGGGTCACGGCATTAAAAAGGTTGAGAACCACTGCTTTAGGGATTCTGCCTCAAAAGATCTGGAAGGGGATCCATGGGGGGGGGGGTGTCTACCAGCGTGGATAACAAAATAACAGAGCTAGAAGGGACCTTGGAGGTCTTCTAGTCCAGCCCCCTGCTCAAGCAGGAGACCCTAGACCAGAGGTAGGCAACCTTGGCTCTTTTATGACTCGTGGACTTCAACTCCCAGAGTTCCTAAGCCAGCCATGCTGAGGGGAAAGGGAAAGTTTTTAAGCTGAGCCATGCTGGCTGAGGAATTCTGGGAGTTGAAGTCCACGAATCATGAAGGGGGGCCATAGTTCCCCCATGCTGGTTCAGGAATTCTGGGAGTTGAAGTCCACGAGTCATAAAGGGGGCCATAGTTCCCCCATGCTGGCTCAGGAATTCTGGGAGTTGAAGTCCACCAGTCATAAAAGAGCCACGGGTACCTACCCCTGCCCTAAACCATTCCAGACAGGTGGCTCTCCAGTCTCTTCTTGGAACCCCCCTCCCCCCAGTGATGGAGCACCCACAACATCTGGTGGCAAGCCGTTCCCCTGGTTCATTGCTCTCCCTGTCAGGAAGTTTCTCCTTAATTCCAGGTTGCTTCTCTCCTTGAATTTTGAACTGGAAGTTTCTTTTATCCCATCCATCTTCCAGCAATCACTCCTGCCATCTAGTCGAGAGTGGACTCATTTGACCCGGGCTTTGGAGCAGATTCGCATGTCGGAATCTCTCCTGGAAAAGGGGGGGGGGAAGCGGTTGGTTTTTCTGCCAACTCTGGGGAGGCGGGCAGGTTGAAACGAGGGGAACTCCCCTAAAATCTGTCGTCCCCCCCCCCCGGTTATGCAACCGCATTATATAATGCTTTTACATAAGCCCCACATGAAGCGGGCAGGGTGTGTGTGTGTGTGTGTTAGAAATCACAACATGACACTCTTTCAGGAAAACGTGAAAAACGTGGTGGCGGAATGGGGACAGACTAGAGCAGGGGTAGGCAACCTTGGCTCTTTTATGACTCATGGATTTCAACTCCCAGAATTCCTGAGTCAGCACAGCTGGCTACACGGGCACGGTCACAAAACAGGTCGTCCTTGATTACAACAATTCATCCAATGATTTTCGAAGTTGCAGCAGCACCGGAAGAAGCGACTTCTGACCGTTTTTCACACTTACGACCGTTGCCACATCCTTACGGTCCAGGGACGATGCTTGGCAACTGACTCATATTTATGACGGTCGCAGTGTCCCCCCCCCCTCCTGGGTCACGCGATCCCCTTTTTCTGACTTTCTGACCGGCAAAGTCAACAGGGAAGCCGGATTCGCCACAATCGTTACTAACTTAACAATGGCAGCGATTCACTTAATGACAAGGGAAAGGTCGTAAAATGGGGCAAAACGCACTCAACACATTCCTCGCTTAGCGACACGGAATCTCGGGCTCCGTTGTGGCCGTCACCCACGCGGTCCCCTTTTGCCACCTTCCGACGAGCCGAGTCAATGGGGAAAGCCGGATTCACTTAACGACGGCATTCTTCACTGCAACCCCCGCAGCGATTCACTTAACAACAGTGAAGGAAAGGTGGTAAAGTGGGGCAAAACTCAAACCAGTTTCTTGTTTAGCCACATAAGTTTTGGGCTGAAGAAATAGGGCACAACTCACGGAATTTCCTTCTCACTTCGCAACAGAAATCGGGGGCTCAAGGTTTGTAGTCGTAAGCCGAGGACTCCGTGTAGGATTGTTCACGTGTGAATGGTGCCCATTCTGGGCGTGCAGCTGTGGCCTTTGCACAGCTTGATCTGATGTGCGGTTGTGCCCGTCCCTTAACTGGGAAGTCTTTCCGACAGTATATCCCGGTCACCTGATGGCTTGACTACTACAATGCACCCTACATGGGGGCTGCCCTGGAAAACTAGCCAGGAAGCTTCAACTGGTCCAGCGGGCAAATGGCACAAAAAGGGACGAGGATGCATCCCTTAAGGCAGGGGTCTTCCAACTTGGCCCTTTGATGACTTGTGGACTTCAACTCCCAGAATTCCTCAGGCACGCTAGCTGAGGAATTCTAGGAGTTGAAGTCCACAAGCTGGAGTCTTCCTTTGATGACTTGTGGACTTCAAATCCCAGAATTCCTCAGACAGGATGCTTTAAGACGGGTCTTCCAACTTGGCCCTTTTTTGACTTGCGGACTTCAACTCCCAGAATTCCTGAGATAGGCATGCTAGCTGAGGAATTCTGGGAGTTGAAGTCCACAAGCTGGGGTCTTCCAACTTGGCCCTTTTATGACTTGTGGACTTTAAATCCCAGAATTCCTCAGACAGGCACGCTGACTGAGGAATTCTGGGAGTCGAAATCCACAAGCTGGGGTCTTCCAACTTGGCCCTTTTTTGACTTGCGGACTTCAACTCCCAGAATTCCTCAGCCAGGCCCACGTCATAAAAGGGCCAAGTTGGAAGACCCCTGCCTTAGAGTCCTGTGATCCAAATTCGGACGCTTGGCAACTGGTTCATATTTACGACCGTCACCTTGACCCCCTTTTGCGACCTTCTCACAAAAGGGAAGCCAGATTCACTTAACCATCATGTGAATGCGAGTAACTTAACAACTGCAGTGATTTCTCTCTTAGCCATTGTGGCAAAAAAAGATGGTCACACGGGGCAAAATTCACTGAACTGTCTCGCTCAGCAAGGGAAAATTTGGGCCGTTAAGTCGAGGACTGCCCGTATCTTGGGTTCGGCTCCTGACACCCAGCCGGTTTATAGACCCAAACCAGCCGTGCGAACAGGCGTCTCCAGGCGTCTCCCGACAGCAGGACCACAAAAACCAGCCTCCTTGCCTTTTCCATGGCAACCACCCTCATTAAGGGAATTATTATAATTGCCAAGTTGACTAATTAAGCTCTGGTATGGTTTTCATTTCTTAACGACTCTCGGATGGTGGATTGAGCCCCCAGGAGAGTTGCAGATCCCGGCTTCTACAGGCAAAGTAGGAGTAGAACACAGGCAGTCCTCAGCTTAACGACCACCACGCGGCCCAAAACGTCTGCCATTCAGTGAGACCTCTGAAAACTGAGCTTTGCCCCGTTTTACGACCGTTCTGGCCACAGTTGTGAAGCGACTCGCTGTAGTTGATAAGTCAGTCACCCGGTCGTTAAGCGAATCCGGCTTCCCCATTGGCTTTGCTTGTCGTAAAGAGGTCGCAAAAGGGGGAATCACGTGACACCCCTCCCCTGGGACACTGCAACTGTCATAAATACGAGTCGGTTGCTAAGCCTCTGAATTTTGATCACGCGAACCCATGGGGAAGCTGCGATGGTCGTAAGTGTGAAAAACAGTCATGTCACTTTTTCCAGGGTTCAGTTGTAACTTTGAACGGTCATTAAACGAACTGTTGTAAGTTGAGGACTACCTGTACAAAATTGGTCCAATTTTGGCTTGGACGTTCCAGCAGTCAGAATTGCCCTTGCAATGGTTGAATACGTACGACGTACGACCGTTCGCTTAGTGGCCGTTTGAAGTTACAACGGCACAGAAAGTGTCCTGTGAAGGTTTTGCAGCATCCCCACAATCAAATCCACAAATGGTATAGGGTTTCCTGCCTGAGCAGGGGGTTGGACTAGATGACCTCCAAGGTCCCGTCCAACTCAACAAATGTTTCGCTTAGCGACAGAAACGTTCACTCAATTGCAGTCATTAACTTGACCACAACTAGCTGTATTCACACAGCCTGTCGGATTTGTGTGAACCTTGCCAATCTTTGTCTTCCTTTACGCGTGGTGTGAGCCCATCCCTTTCGGGTGTATTTGTCGCGCAGGAGCCTGTAACCGGTGTGAACCCGAACGCCAAACCCAAGTGAGCCTGTGCAGCCGAAGTCGTCGCAGTTGTGAGATGTGGGTCCAAAACAACAGCGCACCCCAAGTCATGTTTGCAAACCTATGGCCTCTGCCTTTATGAACATCTTTTAATCTTTTTAGACATAGTTTTTTGTTTTTCATCCACTGAAGTTTGTCATCTACAGGGAAAAAAAAAGAAACCTGCAACAGAAGAGAACCACACACGCACGCACGCACACCTTGCAAATACACCTACGCACAAACACGTCTGTGTGTTTGTGTATATATTTCTGAATTCCAATGTCGCTCCCAAGTTTCTCGTCCAGTCGTAGCTTCCAGAGGGCCAGTTTCTTCTCCCTCCCTCCCACTTTATCTGAAGGAGGCAAAAAAAAAAGTTGTGACTGTACACAACACAACAAGGGAGGGGAAATGTCTTAGATCTTCTTCCTAGGGGTGATTCTGCCTATAAAGGGGGCTTTCTAGCCAAACAGCTAAATGCCGTGTAGGCGTGACAAACACAGATTGTCTTCCACTTCCCTTTAGTGACGGTTTGGAGTTACAATAGCGTTGGGGGGAAAGGGACTTACGACCGGTCCTCACACTTACAACCGGTCCTCACACTTACAACGGTTATACCATTTCCACGGTCAAAATTTAGGCAACAGGCACGTACGTAACAACGGTTGCAGCATCCGGGATATCGTACGATTTCCCCTTTTGTGACCTTTTCCAGCTGACTTCTGACAATCAGTGTCAACCGGGCGGGCGGAGCCTGATTCGCTTAACGGCTGCACGATTCACTTAATGACTGTGGCCATTGGCTTAACAACCGTGGCAAAAAAAAAAAAGGGGTCACATTTTGCAGTGCAATCCAGCTTCAAGTAAATCGACATATATTTGGTCCCTGAACACGGTGACACGTCACCTTCCTGTCCACGCTGCTCACGTCGGATGTTCTTTGCTTTGACAACTGCCCCTTTGAGGGCAGAAGTAGCCTATAATGTGCAGGACGGATGTGGGGATAACTTCTTTGGTTGTGGGGAGGGGGGTTAGTTGGCAAGAAAACGTGGTCCTGGGTTGGGGGGGGTCTGCTGGGCACCCCAGGGAAACGGGCCATCCCGTAAGCGAGGCTCTTAATTGAAAAGCAGCTTCTTGTCTCGGTCTAAAAAGAAAAATTGTAAAAGCCCAGCGAACACTGCCACTGCGCAGGGCACCGTTATCGTCTTTATTTCAGGTAGTCCTCGAATTAACAACGGTTCACTCAGTGACCGTTCAAAGCTTCAACGGCACTGGGGGAAAAAAAGGGACGTAGGACCGTTTTTCACGCTTAACGAACCGCCGCGTCGTCCCCCGCGGCTTCGCGGTCGAAATTCAAACGCTTGGCAACCGACTCCTATTTAGGACGGTCGCCGTGTCCCGTGTGTGTGTTGTGTGCGTGTGTGACCCGATTCCCCTGTTGTGATCTTCCAACAAGCAAAGTCAAGGGGGATGTGTGTGAAGCCAGACTAATTTCATTAACAACGGCGATGGTTCGCTGAACGACCTGTGTGGAGAAAGGTCGTAAAATGGGGCACGACGCGCTCACGACACCTACGTCTCGCTTAGCAGCAGAACTGCTGGGCTCATTCGAGGCCGTTAAGTCGAGCACTACCTGTATTTATTCACTAAGAAATCTTTACGGATTGCCCGGTTGACGCAAATAGAGGATTCCATACAGCTTACAAAATTTAAATAATAATAATAATTATACTAAGGCGCTGCTCAGCTTCTGGCCCCCCTTCCTGGTCTTTCGAGCCGAACAAATGGATGTGGAAAGAGGGAGAAGGAGAGAGAAAGACAGCTCCTAAGTCACCTTCTCGCCCAGCCAAATAGTCCTGAATTTCAGTTGCCCCCCAAAATCCTGTTTTTATTATTATTATTCTTGAGATGAAGACCGAGTCAGCCCCCAATACCTCACTAAATATCGTTCTAGAGGGAACATCGGATTTGGATACACTCTCTTTCTTGCACACAGACACACACGTACATCACACACACACATACACACACACATCCAGCACGTCTAAGGCTAGCCAGGCAAGCCACCGCTTCTTCGTTCTGCTGCCCTAAGAGTACCTTACAGGATGAGCTTTGGGGGCTAAGCATGGATCGATCCTCAGCTGCGCCATGCACAGCTACAAAGCCGATGGATAAGAACTGCAGGGCAAAGCAAACACACACACACACACACACACACATCGCAAAATTAAACAATAACCTGGGATAGGAACCAGAGCCGGACTAGGCCTCCTCGAGGCCACCACTCAACACCTTGCTTGCCTTGATGGAGGAAGAAAGCGCTCGGTTCGAGATCTGGATCCAGCAGGCAAGACAACTGAGCGAAGGGGGGAAGGAGAAGAGACAAGCGAAGGAAGGAAGGAAGGAAGGAGAGAAGAAGGGAAGAGAAAAGAAAAGGGAGAAGGAGAAGAAGGAACAGAACTGAGAGAAGAAGAGAGGGAAGGAGAAGATGGAAAAAGATGAGAAGAAGGAAAGAAAAGGAAAAGGAAGGAGAAGGGAAGAAGGAGAAGGAAAAGAAGAGGGATATAAGGAGAAAGGAAGAAGGAGAAGGAGAAGAGAAAGAAGCGAAGGAGAATGGAAGAGAGAAGGAAAAGGAGAAGAAGAAAGAAGAAGGGACGACAAGGAGGTGAAGGAGAAGGAAAAGGGAAGAAGGAGAACGGACAAGGGAGAAAAGAAAAAGAAAAGACGGGAATACAAGAAATAGAAGAGAGAAAAGGGGAGAAGGAGAATGGAAAAGGGAGAAGGAAAAGAAGAAAAGGGAAGACAAGAAGTAGAAGAGGGAAAAAGGAAGGAGAATGGGAGAGGGAAAAGGGAAGAAGGAGAAGGGAAAGAAAAAAGGAAAAGGAATAGAAGAGTGGAAAAGAAGGAGAAGGAGAATGGAAGAGGGAGAAGGAAAAGAAGAAAAGGGAAGACAAGAAGAGGGAAAAGGAAGGAGAATGGGAGAGGGAAAAGAGAAGAAGGAGAACAGAAAGAAAAAAAGAGGGAAAGGGAATAGAAGAGAGGAAAAGAAGGGGAGAAGGAGGAAAAAGGAAGGAGAATGGGGGAGGGAAAAGGGAAGAAGGAGAACGGGAAGAAAAGAAGAGGGAAAAGGAAGAGTGGAAAAGAAGGGGAGAAGGAGAATGGAAGAGGGAGAAGGAAAAGAAGAAGAAGAAGAACAGAAGTGTGCTGGAGAAGCAAAATCAAAGCTGAAGTGCCACTCATGCAACAACCAACGGCAGAGCAGAAAGAACGAAAGCCTCGATTCAGAACCGCAAGGGAGAAACAGGAGAGAGACTCGGCTGCTCTCGCACTCTGTGCAACCCAGAAGATGACAACTTTCTGGAAAAGCACGGACCTCCGCTCAAAACCGGGCCCCGACCCTTGTCCGTGGCTCGCTTCCTCTCTGCGACTCAAAGGACGTCCGTCCGAACGACTCGGGCCCGTGTCGAGGTGCAGAAGGTGGGCTGTTGTGCAGAAAAAGAGCTGGACTCGTCGGAGGCGGGGGGGGGGAGAAGGGCTAGGAAAAAAGACGTATACAAAAACAGTCCGGGGTGGGGGCTGCGCAGGCTGAGTTTGCCCCCGAAGAGCCCCCCGCAAAAAACCCCTCCACAGGGTCAGCGTCCAGAAGCCGCTTCTGCCCGGGGCCTTCCTTTTCTCCCCGCTTAGAAAAAAACGAGGATGGTGATCACGGCCGCGGAACTGCCCGCTACACATCCGTGGAGAAGTAGACGGCATTGTGTTTCAGCTCGGCGAAGGAGATGGGCGCGTGTTGCAAATAGTACAGCAGGACTTGAACCTGGGGAAGGAAAAAAACAACAACAACGCCACAATGTGAGACAAAAACGAGGGATTCACGCGTCACTGTGCCCCAGACTCGTTCAAGTGATGCCAACGGGGAGGAATTCGCAAGAGAAACTCAAGATTTCCCTCCATGGAGTCGCTTGACAAAGGATGGATTCAAGAGCAGAGCGGAGACGGAGGCTTCAAAGCCCACCTTCTGGAAAAGCTTAAAATAGAAGGGAGTAGAGCTGGAAGGGACCTCAGGGGTCATGTAGTCCAGCCCCCTGCTCAAGCATAGCTGGCTCAGGAATTCTGGGAGTTGAAGTCCACGAGTCATAAAAGAGCCAAGGTTGCCTACCCCTGGTCTAACCTCTTCTTAAAAACCTCCAGTGATGGAGTACCCACAACCTCTAGTGGCAAGCTGTTCCACTGGTTAATTGTCCTCACTGTCAGGAAGTTTCTCCTTAATTCCAGGTTGCTTCTCTCTTTGATCAGTTTCCAATCATTGTTTCTTGTCCTGCCCTCTGGTGCTTTGGAGAATCCAACACTAGAGATTTTTAAGACGAGATTGTACACCTAGGGTGTTTGTCTGAAATGGTATAAGGTTTGTTGCTTGAACGGGGTTGGGCTAGAAGACCTCCAAGGTCCCTCCCAACTCTGTGATTCTGTTATTTTAATCCTCTTCTTCCAGGTTAGCTACTGCAAATCACAGGAATCTTTCCCTAATTTCAACAGCTGCTTCGGCCGGGCACATAAGGGTAGTCGTCAGCTTACAATTATTCATTTAGTGACCGTTCAAAGTTACAACGGCACTGAAAAAAAATAACTTACGACCAATTTTCACACCTATGACAGTTGCAGCATCCTCGCAGTCGTAGGATCACAATTTGGGCGCTTGCCAACGGGCTCGTATTTATGACGGTGGCAGTGTGCCCGGGTCACGTGATCCTCCTTGGCGATCTTCTGACAAGCAGAGGTCACGGGGACGCCGGATTCGCTTAACGACCGTGTTCCTAACTTAACTGCAGTGATTCACTTAACAACGGCGGCGAGAAAGGTCGTAAAATGGGGCAAAACTCCCTTAACAACTGTCTCGCTTAGCCGCGGATATGTTGGGCTCCACTGTGGTCTGAAATTTTATAAGAGTTTCCTGCTTGGGTGAGGGGGTTGGACTAGATGACCTGTAAGGTCCCTTCCCGCTCTTGTGATTCTGTTAAGTCAATTTCTGTTCTGGAAATTCCTACTCTAAGGCGATTGGATGGATTTGATTCAAATCATTTCTCAGCACGGACGGACCCAAACTCTGAACGTCGGGAACGCTGAGTCCCAGTCGCTTGATTTGATTTCGCAGCCTTTGGGGGCAGGAAGAAAACGCTGGCATTAATTCCAAAAAAGGCAATTGGGTTCAAACGTCTGAATTAAATTAAATTGTTTCTTTTCTGAATCCAGTTTGAAAGTCCAAATTAGATTTGGCGTGATTCGCACAGCCGAGAGAAGCACATAAAAAAACATTTGGGGCTTCTGATAGCAATCGGAATTTTGCCCAGTCTTTAAAGAGGTCAATGTTGTTTTTTATTGTATAATCTTCGTGCTCCAATACTAGATTTGAAGGCTAAGGCACCAACAGAGAAAGTGGGAAACAGTGAATTCTAGCCCTGCCTTAGGCATAGCCGACTGGGTGACTATGGGCCAATCACCCGAAGACGGTGAGTTCTAGTCCTGCCTTAGGCATAGCTGGCTGGGTGACTTTGGGCCAATCACCAGGAGACAGTGAGTTCTAGTCTTGCCCTAGTCATGAAAGCCCGCTGGAAGACTTTGGGCCAGTCACCAGAAGATGGTGAGTTCTAGTCTTGCCCTAGGCATGAAAGCAAGCTGGGTGACTTTGGGCCAATCACTAGATGGTGAGTTCTAGTCCCGCCTTAGGCATAGCAGGCTAAGTGACTTTGGGCCAGTCACCAGGAGACGGTGAGTTCTAGTCCCGCCTTAGCATGAAAGCCAGCTGGGTGACTCTGGGCCAATCACTAGGAGACGGTGAGTTCTAATCCCGAGTTCTAATCCCGCCTTAGGCATGAAAGCCAGCTGGGTGACTATGGGCCAGTCACCAGGAGACTGTGAGTTCTAGTCCTGACTTAGGCATAGCCAGCTGGGTGACTTTGGGCCAATCACCAGGAGATTGTGAGTTCTAATCCCGCCTTAGGCATGAAAGCCAGCTGGGTGACTATGGGCCAGTCACCAGGAGACGGTGAGTTCTAGTCCCACCTTAGGCGTGAAAACTAGCTGGATGATAGGGCAAGTCAGCCCAGCCCACCTCACAGGACTGTTGTGGGAGTAATAGAAGGATGGTGATGTCTTGGGCATGTTCACCGCCCTGAGTTCTTTGTAAAAATAATAAAGGTGGGATACACATCAAAATAAAACAATAAAAGAACAATACATTAAATTACGGGCCTCTCTCCTAACTCTTCCCTTTTACACGCAAAGAGCAAATACGCGCTTGGCAATGCAGACAAAAACGGCCTCACTTACCCGACACGACAAACACACACACACCCCAAAAAAGTCAAGCTGCTGTTTCAATTGGCAAACTTTGCAAAGTGCAATGGGGAAACCGAGGCGGCTCGGAGCTTGCGGTCCAATTTAATTCCCCCCCCTCCCTAAACGGGAGGATCACCTTTCGTACAATCTGATTTGCAGCGGACCCCTCCCCAAGGAAGACCACCCTGCAGAGGAGGCCGGCCGGACCCCAGCAGCCGTGGAGATCTTCTCCACCCTGACCCCATGCCACCCCACTGTGCTGGTCAACTCTGCAGGGTTCCCGTCCCGCCGGTTACCTGCGCCATCACATCGTGGGACCAGATGTCGGAGGCCAGCATGACGTGCCCTTTGCTCTCCGCTTCCGAGGGTCTCAACAACGTCGGGCCGAAGACGGTGGCCAGATTGTACAGCGACATTTTGTTGACGGGCTCCTTCTCGGCAACCCTGTGGCGACGAGACGAGAGGGTTTCAGAAGCCCGGGAGAATCAGATGCCAACGTGGCTGAACTCGATCTTTGATCCCTTGCCGAGCCCCGATGGAAAGGGAGGATTTCCCCCCACATTTTCCCAACCCTCGTCCTCCCTTCCCCGCTGTTCCCAACCCCGGAAAAAGGACACAACTGGGATGGCAATCCTACAGGTAGCCCTCGGACTCACGACCACGGTCAAGCCGAAACGTTCCGTCGCTAAGCGAGGCAGTTGTTAAGGGAGTTTCGCCCCATTTATTATCTTTTTTTTTTTGGCCACGGTTGTTAAGTGAATCATGAGGTCGTGAAGTGAACCTGGCTTCTCCACTGACTTTGTTGGTCACAAGTTTGCAAAAGGGGATCACATGACCCCCCGGGGACACTGCGACGGTCGTAAATGCGAGTTAGCTGCCAAGTTTTCATCATGTGACTGGGGAGGTTGCAACGGTCAAAAGGGAGAAAAATGGTTAAAGCTCACTTTTTCCAGTGCCGTTGTAACTTCGAGCGGTCACTAAATGAACGGTCGTAAGTGGAGGACTACTTATATGCCTTGGCAACTTTAAGATCTATGGACTTCGATTCCCAGAATCCCCCAGCCAGGTCTAGTATCCCCAGCCAGCATGGCTTAAGATGGGCAATGTCCACCCCTCTTAAAGCAGGCTAGCTGGGGAATTCTGGGAGTTGGGAGTCCATCCCTTAAAGCATGCTGGCTGGGGGATTCTGGGAGTGGAAGTCCATCCCTTAAAGCATGCTGGCTGGGGAATTCTGGGAGTGGAAGTCCACCCTTCTTAAAGTATGCTGGCTGGGGGATTCTGGGAGTTAAAATCCATCCCTCTTAAAGCAGGACAGCTAGCAAATTCTGAGAGTGGAAGTCCACCCTTCTTAAAGCATGCTGACTGGGGAATTCTGGGAATTGAAGTCCAGAAGTCTTAAAAGTTGTCAAGGTTGGAAACCCCTGTTCTATGCAGTTCCAAACTCACCTTTTGCAGTTCCCATCTTCTGCCCAAATTTGATGCTTCAGAGATCTCCCACCCACCCGTTCCTTCACTGTGACCCAACACACACACACACACACACGCACACTCACACACATTGCATCAACCCCATCCCAGAAACCAGGGAGCAAAGATGGCTACAGCGAGAGACAGCTGTGTGCAATTGCTATCCTCTCTCTCCACAACAAACAAGCTGAACACACTGGAGCCCTGCCCTGCCACACAGATGTGGAACGAGGCATGTTTCCGGCCCTGAGTGAGGCACCCCGTGGATTTCCATCGCAAGCCCCTTTAAGTCTCTATCTCTCTCCCCCCACACCACTCATTTTTCAGTTGCTTGCCATTCCTCCTTCCACGCTGGGGTTAAGCCCAGGAGAGGGAGGTGAGAGCGTGCAAAGCTTCCAGTCCTCAATTCCAAAATTCCCCACGGTGTGTTTCTCGGGCCAGCTGGGCCCTGCACGAAACGGTACCGTGTCCTTAAGACTCCGGGGGCAAGCGAGGACAGGGCATTCTGCAGACCCCCAAGCCCCAAATGAGGAGGGGGTTTGGACCTCTCAGCCCCAGCGCCCCTCCCTCTCTGAACCCCTTCCTCGTCTCCCTGCCAACAGGGATGTAAAAATGCCCGTGGGGCAGAATTTTATTTTATTTTATTTTTAAAAAGCAGCATCGGATGGAATCCGAAGCCGTCCCCCCCCCCTCAAAAAAAAATGCACAATCCTTTTTGTCTTTTTTGCAAAGACAGGGAAATTCCTTCCTGAAAGCTTTGAAGCGAGAGCGGGGGTGGGGTGCAGTTTAGGAAGTACCCCTATTAATGTAAAAAAAGTTTTGCATTCCTCTTAATGCACCCAAAAAAAAAAAAAAAAGAAAGGAAATAAAATAAGGCTTATTTCTCCAGGCTAAAAGGAATTCCCCCCCCCCTCTTTCCTCTGTTTTGGAAACATTCTTTTACCCTTTTTTTTTTTAAAGCGTTGCTCTTAAATTTTAATTTAGAGCTCTATTTTTTTGTGAGGCCGGTCGAAGCGTGTTAAGATTTATCCTGGCTGTTTGTGGGTGGGCTTTTTTCCCCCGTTCCCAATACAATTAGTCCCAATGAATAATACAGTTCATTTAAGGGATGGGTTGAAGTTAACAATGGCACAGAGAATAATAATAATGATGATGATGATGATGATGATGATGATGATGATGATGATGATGATGATGATGAATAATAATAACAATAATAATAATAATAATAATAATAATAATAATAATAATAATAATGATGATGATAACTGGAGCACCACTTGAACACCATTGGCATTGACAAATTCGCCATCAGTCAATTGCAAAAGGCGGCCTTACTAGGAACCACCTCCATCCTGCGACGAGATCTGTAATACCATCAAACATCCACATCTGCCTATCCCAGGTCCTGGGTAAGGACTCGATGGGTAGACAACATGCCAAATCCAGTGTAAACATCTGGCTGACTGTGCCATAATAATAATAATAATAATAATAATAATAATAATATCCACATCTGCCTATCCCAGGTCCTGGGTAAGGACTCGATAGGTAGACAAAATGCCAAATCCAGTCTGAACATCTGGCTGACTGTGCAATGATCCATAATAATAATAATAATAAATAAATAATAATAATAATAGTAAAGTTGGAAGGGACCTTGGAGGTCATCTAGTCCAACCCCCTGCTCAGGTAGGAAACCCTATACCCTTTCAGACAAATGGCTTATGTCTGTTTTTCACGCTTAACAACCGTTGAGGCATCCCCGTGGTCATGTGATCAAACATTCGGATGCTTGGCAATTGACTCATATTTATGACGGTCACAGCGTCCCCGGGGTCATTTGGTGACTTTCTGACAAGCCAAGTAATGGGAGAGCCAGGTTCACTTATGAACCGTGGGACTCACTTAGCACCTGCAGTGATTCACTTAATAACGTGGAAAGAGCTAGAGCTAAGAAGAAGTTTCCTGACAGTGAGAACAATGAACCAGTGGAACTCCTTGCCTCCAGAAGTTGTGAATGTTCCAATACTGGAAGTTTTTAAGAAGAGACTGGGCAGACATTTGTCTGAAATGGTATTGGGTTTCCAGCCTGAGCAGGGGGTTGGACTAGATGACCTCCAAGGTCTCTTCCAACTGTTATTCTATTCTATTCTATTCTATTCTACTCTATTCTACTCTATTCTTTCTTTCCATATTCTATTCTATTCTATTCTATTCTATTCTACTCTATTTCTTTCCATATTCTATTCTATTCTATTCTATTCTATTCTATTCTATTCTATTCTATTCTATTCTATTCTATTCTATTTGATTCGATTCGATTCTAAACTCAACTCAACTCATCTCAACCAATGCTTCATTTAGCCACAGAAATTTGGCCCACCGTTCTGGTCGTAAGTGGGGGACTATCTGTAACTTGCCGGCTATCCTGGAAAGCTTGAAAGGGAATGAAGGCAGGTGGGACGGAAAACGGGAATGTGCAAAGGAAATCCAGTCAGAGCTCAAGAAGCTTCTAGGAGGAGAAGCGAAATGTCTTCAGAGAAAAACAGGAAAGCCCAGCTGCCTCGTGGAAAAAACACCTTTGGGTGCAAGAGAAATGAGTGAAAAAATTAACGAAAGACACACACACACACCCGCTTAAGATGGGGAAACTCACCGTTTTAAGTGTTCTAGGAGGAAGAGGAAGGTGATGAGGTTGGGGTCCGGGAGGGACCGTAGAAGATGCAGCATGCAATTTTCCTTGGCCGAGGGGTCGGAAAGCGCTAGGAAAAAAACAAAACAAAAACCCAAATGGAATTAAAGAGAAAAGAAGTGGGTAGGTGGTAATAATAATAGTAATAGTAATAATAATAATAATAATAATAATAATAATAATAATAATAGGTGAGAAGCAAAACGTTTTCAAGGGAAAAAAAACCCAAGAAAGTCTAGTTGCCTTTTGGAAAGGCACATAATAAAATAATAAAGTTGGAAGGGGCCTTGGAGGTCATTTAGTCCAACCCCCCTGCAGGAAATCCTATACCATTTCGGACAAATGGCTGTCCAGTCTCTTCTTAAAAACTTCCAGTGTTGGAGCATTCACAGCTTCTGGAGGCAAGGAGTTCCACTGGTTAATTGTTCTAACTGTCAGGAAGTTTCTCCTTAGTTCTAGGCTGCTTCTCTTCTTGATTAATAATAATAATAATAATAATAGTTCTAGGTTGCTTCTCTCCTTGATTAATAATAATAATAATAATAATAGTTCTAGGTTGCTTCTCTCCTTGATTAATAATAATAATAATGATAAAGTTGGAAAGGACCTCTGAGGTCATCTAGTCCAACCTCCTGCTCAGGCAGGAAACCCTATACCATTTCGGACAAA